CAAAAATTGCATTTAATTAAAATGTTCATGTAAAATTTACATTAGTTCCACATTCCAACATATTCTCTCTCTTTGATTTTGATTTCATCCTATTATAGATAAACATTCTTTTATAATACCATTCACAAAGTTTCTTTATTCATTCATTATATTCATTCTGATGTTGCTGTGTACTGTGTCAAGAATTTCAAAATGTTTTAGCATCTTTTTTTGTGCTTATGCATGAGGAAAAATGTTTGAGACTAGAAGAAACTTGTTAGCACATTTACAAAGCTTTTTTTTACCTTATCATGAAGAACAAATAACAGTCTTATGTTCCCACAACAACAGTATCAACAAAACACAACAAAACACAAAAAAAAAGGAATTGAGAAAATACACAAAACTAATAGAGATGAAAATAAGAAAGAAATTGTGTCTTTTATATTATATAATATACATAACATACACATAAATATTCCTTCCTTTAGTCCTTTGAAATTTCCTCCTTCTTTTGCTGCTCGACAATTGTTTGTGGTGAAACGAAATGAATAAGAATTGTTTATGGAGCACGTTCCGTTAAAGACGATAGCTAGTTGAAGGGGGGAATGAGCAGTGTTTGCTGTACTTTAGCATTTTTTCTATTCAACTTTATGCTTTTTGCCATCACTAAGATTCTGTTTTAGTAGATTTTTTTCGTGACAATGAGTGAGGTGCTGAAGGGAATGGTTTTGTGACTTTCTTGGATAACGAGATTTTTTTTTGGGGAATCATGCAAAAGTCTCTGAATTGAAGATGGTATGTCCGTACATAGGAGAATGTTGGAAACCATAGAACAACAAAGAATCTAGGTAATCGATCTTCAAAGAACAAATAGGATTGAACAAGTTATCTGAGGTATTTGGTCCCGGTCGTAATTTGGATTTTATTGGATGATATTTTTAGGTTTCGGATGTAATTAAGATTCAACTGTAATATAGTTTAGACAGTTGCCGATCTCATGCTGACTGAACCAAAGCTGGTACGGACTTATGGTTCCAGCAAAGATTCAACACGGATTTTTAAAGTAATGAAGATGCTTTATTCTAAACCAACGATTTCATACTGTACCTGGCATAAAATATTATTTTCAATATTAGATGGGCGAATTGAACAAGCTAAAAGGAACCCAGGAGGCTCTGGATCCAATCTACATTGAATTGCCCAAAAACATCGCTCAGAATCCACAATTCTCATTATCACCTCTCAACTTGCATTCTATGTTTAACCATAAGTTCTTATTAGTTTCCATTTTGAAGCAGTGTTTTTATGACTTTTTGTCGTTGTCGTCATTGCCATTTCAGTTGACCTCAGAGGAGAAATGGTAGCAAAAGTGATACGATAATCGTAAAAATCACATCAAAAGGTTTCATTGTGCCTTTTTTCTCATCTTCTCTTGTGGCTTTACTATACATTATTTTGTGATGTCTAATGTTAATGCTTGGCAATATTCACGTTTTTCATTTTCTTTTTTTGGTTGTAGAAACAAGCGGTATTGAGTAAGGAAAGAGCTCATAAAATGCGATGTTTTGTATGTGCACTGTGCTCCTCAAAATATCCCATTTCTCGCCATAAAATTTGCATTTTATTTTCATCTTGAACCAACAAACATCATCATGAAAAATTATGCTAACAAGCTGTTGATATACTTTGAAGGATGCTTTAATGAAAAAGAACTCGAAATTTTTACAATTTTGCATTGACCCGGACTGCACATGGCGTTAAAATGTTACAAAATAGAGCAACATGCATGGGATGACGAGGAGTCTGATTTGGACTATATCAAGCTTTAAGCTAGCTTATTCACTCCGTGTGCCATTCGGGCAACTCTTCATTAAAACTGAATACACTAATCGAGTTACGATAGCAATTATCATTCATAATAATTGCATTTTTCAAGTACAATCTTAATCTTTAAAATTTATTATCATCACAACTTCTACATCCATCTAGTATGTACATACTTCAAGCTAAATGCTCAAGTGTTGAAATGAAAATTTTTGCAAAATTGAAAGGAATAACAAGTTTTTAATAGTTTTGAAGTTGAGAAGTGCTTCATAATGAACAATAATTTTCAGCATTTACGATAACATTTCTCTGCATACATTCAATAATACAAAGAGAAAATCCTAAAGAAGTACCATTGAGAGTCATTAAATATTGCTCGAAACGATTCATTAAATTTTAAGTGCTTTGACAGCTTGGAAAATGCAAAATACCTCAGAAATAATTCAGGCTAAATTTTGAATTGAATCGAGTGGGATGCGAGTGGATTTGGAGTGGTTGAAATTGTTTCTTTTTGAACACTTGAGATTTGGATGTGATTTTAGTAAGCATCATGTCCTCAATAGATGGCATGTCCTCCTTATCTACTCGACACCTACTCTAAACTTTTATTTTCAATATCTATTCATGACTTGTACGTCCTAAAACCATTTAAATCAAAACACATCTTCTTGCCACTCACAGTCATCAACTAGCACCATAACTCAACAGGATAACGATGATAGATAGACGAATAATCTAAAGTGATGGATAAATAAGGAATCGGAATGTTCAAGTTTGAGGTGAAAATTGAGATTTTAGTTTTTGGGAATGAGAATGAAACTTTGAAGCCACAATAAATTGAGCAAACTTAGCTCGAGCAAAAATTCCATCTCTTAAATTCTTCGCACAATGATTAAACTTTAAATTGATTTTGATATTCAAGAAATTTTCTATTTTCACTTCTCCTTCTATTCAGTTTTCATCTTCAATTGCAAGCAATTTTATTTTATTTTTGAAAAAAAAAAAAATAGACAAGAATAAGAATTGAAGATGCTATTGGGAATAATAATAATGAAAGGAGCTGAGAATGGGTTTGGTATTCTGAAGGAGATGTAAATTTTCAAACGAAAATCATCATCTTGAGATTCATTGAAATGGATGTTTAATTTCAATTCTCGTTTTTATTCTATGCTTTGTTAGCAGCTGTAGGTATGTGCATGTCTATCTCATCTGTGAGTGCTGAAGGAATTTTGTCAGATTTTTTGATGGGGTTTTGAAGCTGATTATCTAAGTTCCAAAATAAGTAAGTTCTTAAATTAAATTACTTTTCTGACGAGCTGACCCGCATGGCACAAGTCGGTTAATCGATCAGAAATCCGGCACCAAGCCGGTGTGACCCTAGCAAAGTGCTTGATTTAAATCGAAGCGCTGGTTTTCTATTCGATTAATCGACTTGTGCTATTCGGGTGATGAATTGTAGTCAATAGCTTCATCTAGTTGTTACCTGTAGATGGTTTTACACCTGACTAATCCCAATTTTTTCTTCAGGATCTCAAGCCTTGCTTAATATCTGGTAACGTTATGCTAAATTCTTTTCGTATCTCTGATCATACCAAGTTATGCAGGAAGAACTTTCAATGTGCCATTCCATTCAAAATAACTAAACCAAAGCCCATTTTATTTTATTTCTTCATCAAATCTCGAAATAATACCAAAAGCTTCTCACTAAATTAGAAAAATTCCTCAAAAAAATTCCAGCACATCAATGCAAGGGACATAAAAGCATTTACATAGTTGAGGATAAAATGAAAGAAAATTGTGGATTGTTAGAAGATGAAAATATAATAAAAGAAGCTCTCCTGTATAAATGCAGTAGAAACAGCATTGCGATTGTCTATTGAATCAAGGGTTCAATTGAAAAATAAAAGCTAGTAAGAATGGATGAATGAGAGTGAGAAAAAAAGTGCAATTTAAAATTAATTTCTATCTACTTTATGTTCATTTTGTGGAAATTTATATTGATTGAACTTTTATTATTCAATTCCCGTTCAACACATTCGAATTGTGAAAATTATGTTTTGATCATTAAATCTCCTTTGATCAAGTAGAGTCGAGTCAAGTAGTGTCGATTCAAGTAGAGTCGAATCAAGTAGAGGCGAGTCAAGTAGAGTACTGTCAATTCAAGTAGAGTCGAGTCAAAAAGAGTCGAATCAAGTAGAACCGAGTCAAGTAAAGTCGAGTCAAGTAGAGTCGGATCAAGTTAACTTCGAGCTTGTCTTAAAACTACAACTGCTTAAAAATGAAGATACCAGAGTTTATCGATATTTTGACCCATTAAATAGCTACAATTAAATTCCCCGCAATTAACTAAAGCCGTCCCTAAATGCAAATATCACATAATAAACTGTCAAGTCCACAAAAGTTCAACGCACTCTCAAGAAAAATTCTTTCATCTATTTTAAAATTCAAATTTCAACAAAACTTTTTTTTTCTCATCTCATTTAAGAAAGGAAAACTGGTACACTCAGTCGCACACTCGCATAGTCTTGCTGAGTAGATGTTCAACTGCTGACAACAAAAGAATTCAATTTTCATTCATGTCACAGAACAGCGACAGGAATCCAATTGAAACGGCATCTTTCATTGTTCATTTTATTCTCATATCATTGCCGTAAAACTATTCATCTTTTTCCATTCTATTTATTTCCTATTTTATATGTTTTATGGCAGATAAATGGCAAACTTAAGTAGAATTTTTTTTTCTCTACAACAAACAGTAAAACACCAACACTTATTTGCTTTTGAGTCACGCAATAGAAATGAGGACAGAAAGAAGGGAAATGTCATCCCAAGAATTTTCATGCATTCTCAACTTCCGATGGCATTGTTGAGACAAATTGTGAATATTTTTGTAGCTTCTAATTTATTTTTACTTCCAGTTACATCAGGAAGGGGTTGGGTGGGAAGGGTCCTTATATGAGGCACTTTATTGCAGCTTAAAACATCAATTTTGTGTCTTAAAAACTTTACCTGCTATGATCAAATGTAACTTAGTGTTGCAGCCTCAAATCAACAACAAAAAGCTTCCACCCATAAGCTGTTTAGACGATCATTCAGCCACAACAGCAAATATTGAATTAAATTTTTCTCGCATTTTTGTGGCGCGGCAAATATGAACAAATGTTTGACAATAAAACTTCAAATAAATTGTCGCTTTATTGTCCTCGTTGTGGTCTTTCAGTCTCGCTGTAGATATGCTCAACGCATATAAATACTGCAAATAATTTAGTGATGTTAATACGCGATTCTTTATGACTTTTTATATTATAGTCGACTTTATTTATTGCTTGCTATAAATATGCACAAGAATTTATGAATGAAATGTGACATGACGAATTGTGTGGGTCTTGAATTGATGAAGAATTTGTGGCTTGTTCGGTGTTTGTGGTGCTTCACTCTGCTGATCTGAAGTGTTGTGTCATACGTGGGATGGAGTCTGTGGCTAAGTGGCTAGGTAACAGATCAGATAACTTTAACTCTTAGTTTTGTGTTCGTTTCCTATCTTATAAAGTAACAAATATTATAAGCTACAGTAAAAAAAATTTCTTATTATTTCAGGTTTGAGAAACATCTCATCCATAAAAATTCAACAATCATCCAAGCACAATTTTCTTGTCCCCACCCTTCCACCTGATTTTAATTTTTCTTCTCAAATCAAACTGAATATTTCATGGCAGCAACTTCCTTATGGACGTTAATTAATTTTTCAGAAGACAGAGTTCATTTTTCCTGTAAATGTCTTCTGTAATTGTTTTTCTTCATTCCGTTCCTTCCATTAAAACATTCTTAGTTCTTGTTATTTCACTTCCTTCTCTTTCAAGCGGAAAAAGAAGCAATCAATTCTAAATTAGGTCATTAAATTTCATTATACGTTTTTTTTTGCTGTGTAAAATTGCTTCATTTTCTTATGCGTTACTTTTTTAGACACGCTCATTTTACAATTTTAGACAGGCAAGAAAGGAATTAGGAATTTTTTCAGTACTTTTATTGTGGAATGGGAAGATTTAAAGACGAATTAAATTTTAATATGTTTTGTAGCCTTTTGTAAATTGGTTAACCTAAATAATCAAAGATGTTCCTTAGTATTACAATGAACTGAGCAGCAAGTTGCAGGAAATTTCATTTTCTGTCTGCAGAACAAGGGTTTAGTAAAGGTTAAGTCACCTGAGGCCAAAACCTTCTTGTCCTTCCTTCCATTGACACTTTTCTTTTGCTTCAGATGTGATCTTCGATGTGATAATGGTGGAATGAATCTATAAGCTTAGGGGCCGTTCACTTATGACGTCCAGGGGGGTGAAGGGCAGAAAGAGAATAACAAAAGAAATACCTGGAAATTCATCGTGGTTTTTGAAAAATGACCGTTAATTTCGCCCCTTACAGTGCTGTTTTGCAACTAGCACCTTAATATTCAGCTGCAACTCAAATTTTAATGAACATAATCATATTTCGCTGGATGAAACACTTTGTTGTCAAAAACCTTGTTTTGATTGCGTTGAAATTTCCTCATGAAACTCACACTGTTGAATAGATTTTGATAGAATCTTACAGTAATATAGAAGAGTATTTCAAAGACAGTAATGATTGAGCATCCCAAGAAGAGTCCTAAAATGCCACCATAGTCACTTATAATATCATACCAAGCAAACAAGACATCAGTTTTGTAAAGGACTGAATCAGTTTCTGGGAAATAAACTTTGAGGACTGATAAATCTTTATCGTCATCAAATCCAGCACTGAAAATAAGGAGATGACATTAGGTTGAGTGATTAAAATAAATATTAAGACATGGCATAGTCAGTTGGAGAGCTAGTGGCGCTGCAAAATAGTTAAATTTTGACATCCTTACAGCTGAATTATTTGAGTAATAACAAGGGGGAAACAACCTTGTTGGAAAAATAACTATTTTTACAACGAAGTTGTTTACCCCTCACACTAACACCCCTATCCTCAATGCCGTAAATCTTACTCCCTCAAAAATTACAAAATTAAAACTTACATCACAGATCCTTTATTGACGTAATAGAAGTTCAACTGAGCAGATGTTGAGTCAACAATATAAATTGTTGAGGAGCACTGTGGATAGCAAATATCACAATTAAGTGAATCCTCAATTTCTCGCTCGAGGACTTTGATAAATTCCTTTGGTCTAAATGTTCCCCATTTTATTTTATATTTGTTCATGCACTGTACATTTCCTAAGTTGCAGAATGGCAATGAAGAGTCAATGTCATTGAAATTTACTGGTACATTAAATGGAATGCACTTGCATAGAGCCATGACACTCTTTAGTTTACATTTCACCAAGCAATCTCCATAGACGTAATTAGTTCCAAACTCGTTTGGATAATCGTTGGGAAACAAGCATTGACGTTTATTTATTCCATATCTTTGGACTTCATCGACAGCATAAAAGCTAAGTGCACTAAGAGTGATTCTGGTCTCTAGATATCTCTCAACTGGAACTTCCCGAACAAAACCTGTTGCTGAGTCGGCAAATTCTGAGGGATCATAAATTAATGTCGTTGCACCTCCAAAATTTTTCAATGGATAATAATAGTCAGCAATTGATAGATTCAATAAAATTGTCAATCCCATGTCGGGACCTATACCAGCAGCAATGAGGGGTTTTACAGCAGTTTCATTGAGTGTGCTTGGTCGTACATAATTAAATGTACAGCAAAAGCCTTCATTTGTTGTACGATCTTGTAGAATATCGGAACATGGAACGTCAGCTCCACCCCATTTACATTTTTTGGCGATGTCTGAACATTTTGGCGCTAAAAATTTCAACTTCTCCTGCATGTTATAAATTCCGGTGGTTTTATCAGAATCAAAATTATCGAGAATCTCTTGAAATTTCACAAATTGATCAATGCCTTCAATGTCTGCATCGTACAATCTTCCCATGTATCGTATCAAGTTCATCAATGTGTTTTTATTCTTGTATTGGATTGGGATGCTCAGATTCATTCTGTAAAAGTCAATAATAATGTTAAATTTCATCCAAACAACCTCCGAATGTCTCAAATCGTATCATACTCACAAATGTTCTGCATATTCTTCTGTCCTTGTTCTGCTTATCTTATTATTTGAACAAATAGCAATAGCAGGAAAATTCAGTCCATAGATTGAATGATGTTGACTCTCAAGGGTCGTTATTGTTGGATTATCAGTAAATCTCGACCATGCAGACATTACCACACCGATAGCACATCCAATCATAGTCACATGAATTGAAAGCCACATGAGTTTTTCAGGTAAATGACGATCAGCATCTGCTAAGTAATGATAAGCATGAACGTAGGTATTCAAGAGAAAATCTTTGATACTTTTCCAAAAGGCTTGAGCGACTTTTAGTTGCTTGAAGGCTGGTTTACCCAAACGCATTGTCTTTGGATTTTTGCTATACTTTATTCAGATGTGAAATACGAATGGATTATGAGAATGTTGGTTCCTTTGCTTTTATATGGATTAACAGAATCACAAATTATTCATGATTTTTGCATTGACTTGCTATTTAATTATGGGTACGAAATGTTTTTTGCTGATTTATGCTGAAAGCTAACTTCCACACATGAAACTCAAGGTATTGTTCCGTATCGTCGTGGAGCCAGGGATATAGACAGTCTATTCGAAGGTAGATCCTTTTGTTCACACTCTATTCTAAATCTACCTTATTTTTGACCTACAGCTATGTCCCAAACCTAACCTAAACCTTAACCTAAAACCTAACCTGATGCTTGCATGAACCTTGCCTGAACCTAACCTCAACTTAACCTGTACCTAACCTAAACCTAACCTAAACCTTACCTAAACCTAACCTAAATCTAACCTAAACCTTACCTGAACCTTATCTTAAGCTTTCCTAAACCTGACCTAAACCTAACCTAAACCTAGCCTAAACCTAACCTCAACCTAGCCTAAATCTAACCTTACATATAGGTTCACTTGGCCAAAATTGACATATAGTCACCCTTATATCTGAAAATTGCTACAACTGTCAAACTACTCCTGCCATTTTCAACATATGTCTTAATTATTATTTTCCCAAATTATATCAATAATTCGAACCACAGCAAATAATGAATAAACTCAATAAACTACAATAAATCATATACCGAGACTTAATAAACTCGATATGAGCGAGCATACTCTCGATGTCATTTCGTGTACACTTGAACAAAATTGTAATTAGTGACATAAAGCTATAGGCTCAATCAACATTGTCATTATTTGTTGATATTTATTCATCATGTTGAGTTGTTTCAAGGTGAAAATATTTTGATAGTGATTAAGTATGATTGATTTTTGTTGACTCTGATTATGATATGAATTTTTTTGGGGATATATTATTGGAACTGAATTTTGTCTTTAGAATATTTTGGTGCTGGAAGAAAAGAATTCTTCAATTTAAGATGGAATACTTTGGGATTAATCTAATGATTGAGTTTATTTTGTTCCTAAGATTTTCAAAGCAATTCTGAATGGCTTCATTGCAGCAGCCAACACTAGCCGAGCAATTATCTTTTCAACCTCAAATTCAACCCCCGAAAAATATCAAAAATCAATTAAAATAAATGAAAACTTAATTTTAAAACTTTCCAGAAACTCAACAACTTTATAAATTGAGACTTTCAAGAAACTTCAAATGATTTCTTCATCTTGAGTAAATTGACAGATGAAATAAACTTGCTCGAAAAGTTTCACAACAGTTTTAACAAAATCAAAAAAGAATCTCCTCCTTAATATTTTCTTTAAAAACTTTTCACGATGAATTTAAATGATGAAATAAAATGTAATTCCAATTTCAGTCTTTTAGTTTCTACTGTTGCTCCTTAAATGTTTATTTTATGGTGTGTGCTTCCTTCTTCTCGGTGCTGGAATGTAAGCAAAATGTAATTCCATGAGATTAAGTCTTGAATGGTAACAGAAAATTTCATTCTAAAGTTATACTTAGAGTTGATTCTTTTTTGCTTGCTATCTGATGATTTTATTGCCAATTTAGTATTCACTTGCTGTGAATAAAGGATGGATATTTTTTTGATTGAATTCGTAGAGTTCAGATTTTAGGGAATCATCTTAAAATATATAATCGAATAAAAAGGATATTCTTCGGGTTGAAGTCAAATTAGCAATAAAATTGAGTTCGATGTCATGCTTGTGAAATGGCATCAGTGGACTAAGTGGTAGAGCGTTTGTCTTACGTTCCAGAGGTTCTGTGTTCAATCCCAGGTTAATTTAAGTTTTAAAAGCACTTTTTTCATTTCACAATTCTAGTTTCGAAGCTCAGTTCGTGTGTTGGGTGTAGTTTTAAGGTCTCCGGCACATGACTAGGTACATTGCAGGGTACATTAGGTATTTAGACATATTTGTATCTTTGCAATATGCAGAGCTTGCAAGTGGTTCGGATTCAACTATAAACTGCAGGTCCTTAAAGGGTGTTGTACAAAAGATTCTGTTCTAATTTGAATCGCAGAGCCTCCAGCTCAAAAGTCTGGGCCATAAACCATACAAACCATCAAATGCAACAAGCTTAAATTAAAATGACAACCAATATAAGTCTAAATAATGAGAAATTTTCTTATTGATGCTCATTCTCATCGTCTTTATGTCATCTTTCCGAGAAGAAAAGAAATTCGTAGCATGCAGCATAAGCACATTTATCAATAAATAAGGGAAAATATAAAAATGTGAAGTTCATAATATCGATAATGGCAGCAGTAATATGAAGTATTTATCGAGAACTACAAGCAGACTGAAATTATTGCTTCATCGACAAAAATAGAGCACAGAATATTGTACCATAACTAAATGTAATAATAATTTACTTCTATTGGAGTTGGTGAAATTTTTTCGAGAAAGAATAAAAAAAGGCAATGAGCAAAGTTCACCTTATTGATGCTGCTCTGTGCTTGTTGTTGAGATTTCTATCGTTAATTTGATGATATTTTTTTTTGTGCATTGTAATAAACGAAGCCATTGATACCCGATAAATATGTTTCTTCATGTCCTTCCTACTTGCTGTTGATTTGGCAACAAGACTTTTCTTTTTCTCCTTCTTTACTTCCTATTCATAAAATTACTAACAATGTACAGCTCATTTTGTGCTAGAGCTTGTTGAACTATAAATAAAATCGGAAGTATCGGTGTTATGGGATCTATTGATTACAATTCATTCATTCATTCATTATGCTATCGACAAGAAATTGTGCTTGAAAAGGAAAAAGTTAATGATTTGAGATTGTAATTATCGAGTAATTGGTAGTTGTAGATTTATTTTGAGAACTATTGATGCTATTATGAGTTGTGGTGGTACAAAAGACTTCATAAGGCTATTATAGATGCAATTTGGAATAGTTTGGTAATGAATGACATAATAAATTAAGAAATTTTAGAAAAATAGGTCAGCAGCGATTTCAAACATGATATTATTAAAGATCTTGGAAGTGCTTCATTTCTTAGCCTGGGATTGAACCCAGAACCTTTGGCTCGTAAAACCAACGCACTACGCACTACCACGTAGGCCACTGATGCTATTTCTTCGCTGACTCATTTTAGCCTAGCTTCATTCCTATGCTATGAACTGTTTACTATTAAGAAGTACAACTTAGTGCCATACTTTCCGTCTGTTTTTAAATCATGTTCCGATTGAGACTAATTCTACACATAAAATATACTTTTAAGTGCTTCTCAGTGCTTTCCATAAGTTGTATTTAATTAATCCACAGAGTCAACCTCCAAATTCCTTAATGTAGCTTAACTCAATTAAAATTACATGCACTACGATTTTAATCTCTTGATATTTCCTTCCCTACAAATGTATCCCCTTTTTTTGATTGACACTTTGTGGTTTAATTAATTTCCTGTGTACACATTAAAAGGAACATGAAGTAAGCAAACTATTAAGCATGCAATGTTAAATTAAACAATAAACTATAAAAAATATTTTCAGTGTGAAATAAAAAAATTCACATCAAATAAAACAAAATTCTTGAACAACATTGTCGCATTTATGTGAAGGAAGCGACCCAAAATGGTTCATGAAAACAAGACATAAAGCATAAATGTTTGAGTTCTAAAAACGGGAAGAAAGGAAGGAGAGAGGAACTAGTGGCTCATAAAAATCGTTATGGCTTCACAAAGCACCCGAAAGCGACAAAAAAAAAATTAGTTCAAGACTTTAATTTAGTTACACCACAAACTAGTGGCTGAACAAATGACTGCAAAAGCGCACAGAAAAACAGAAAATCGATATTAATGGAAAGAGGTGGGAAAAAATAGCATAAAAAGTCATTGTGTTAGGAGGGAGAGTTGAGGCACATCAATAAAAATGACTTAAACTCTTCATTATATTTGTGAGCACTGCCTGAATGCATTAAATGTTATCATGAGTTGAATTGAGACACTTCTATGAGTGATTGACTGGAATGGCCTACATTTTGACAATGAATTGACAATTTAAATTTTGCTTTTTTTTTTGATTAATTTTAAGAGTTCAGGGTGGCACAGAATGGAGTAAGATTCTTGGTTTATGGATCTCGGTTCTTGGATCTCAGTTCTGGGCTGTCAGTAGTCATTTCTCGGTTCTAGAATCAAGAACCCAAAACAAAGAATCAAGAACAATGAGAAGCAAGAACCAAAAACCATGAATCCGTAATCAAGTCTTGAGAACCAAGAATCAAGAATTGAGAACCGTAGTCAGGCTAAAAATCTTTGAAAGTCGAGAAACATTTAATCTATGAATCCTCATTTGTTATTAATATTTCACTGTCAGTAAAAAAATAAAAATCGATTTCAACCCCATTAAAGTTCCACAATTTTCAAATTTAATTCAAAATCCAATAACAACTTTCCATAACCCCAAAAATTAAGTTTTCATGCTGCACAACTTTTTTTTCTATGTAATTTAAAAAATATATTTTGATTACCTGTTGTCATTTGCAAAATTGGAAATTATTAGGAAGTCATTTCGGAAGTGATGTGATTGCATGTACGGAAAATGCATTTACATTTAAAAATAGAATTTAATGGGATTCTTGGATAGCTTTAATTAACAACTGTCTGCATGACTGAAATTGAGAGACAGCCAGGAAATAATTGATAATGCTTGTTGTCAGAGTTTTAAGAGATTTAAATTAAATAAGAGTTTAAAAATAGTTTTGAAAAATAAATGAGTTAATTTATGGAAAATGGGAATATCATGTATGTTATTAAGGTTGGAACTGCTTGAAAAGTTTACAAAGTTTTAGGAATTTTTTGATAATTTATAAAATTGCTTGTTTGAAACTTTACAATTGATGATTTTTCAGGATTTTGATTAAAAAAATGAACTCCTCTAAGTCCCTCCAAACCCCATCCACAATCCCCAGCAATCCCAACAATTACAA